CAGCACTTTTGGAGGGGTTCTCCTGCCCAGGAAGCACCACCAGTGTCCCCTAGAGCCACATCTCCAGTGGTGGCCGGGGACGAAGCTCCACAGCCGGAGTCTCACCGGGAAATGCCTCCTGCTGCCTTCGGCATGTGGTAAAACACTCAGGAGCTGGGCTGCCTTTTCTTCATTTCCTGCCTGCTCCTGCTTCCAAGGAAACAAAAATCCCCCAAGCCAGGGCTGAGGTTTCTCATTTAGATGGAAGCCAGGCCAATAACCAGAGCTGCTCATGGCCTGGTGTTCCCAGCCCCCGTGGTGCAGGGGGGAAGCTGGGGCTGGTGCTCCCTGCTATGATGCATCCCAGTAAATCCCAGGGTGAGGTTTGGGTAATGGGAACCTCTTGGCTCTGCCCCAGGTTGGTCAGTCAGGGTTCAGGGTGCTGGTGGGAGGTTTTGGGGTATCAGCATCTCCCCCTCCCTCCTCCAATCTGGCAAAATCCCTGTGTTTTCAGGGCTTTGCTGTGGTTACTGCCCACAAATCCTTCCCAGCATCTCTGTTCCCAACAAGGTGGCAAAGGGTGAGTGTCTGGAGCCATAGCCAAGCCCAGCTGCTGCCAAGGGGACAGGGGCTGCCCACAGCAGAGAAGGGCAGAAAAAACCCTGCCTAGACCCCCGTGCCCTCACTGCAACACGGGCAGGGTTTGGAGGAAAGAGGCTGCCTGTAGGCTCCCGCAGAGCTGCTCATGGCCTGGTGTTCCCAGCCCCCGTGGTGCAGGGGGGAAGCTGGGGCTGGTGCTCCCTGCTATGATGCATCCCAGTAAATCCCAGGGTGAGGTTTGGGTAATGGGAACCTCTTGGCTCTGCCCCAGGTTGGTCAGTCAGGGTTCAGGGTGCTGGTGGGAGGTTTTGGGGTATCAGCATCTCCCCCTCCCTCCTCCAATCTGGCAAAATCCCTGTGTTTTCAGGGCTTTGCTGTGGTTACTGCCCACAAATCCTTCCCAGCATCTCTGTTCCCAACAAGGTGGCAAAGGGTGAGTGTCTGGAGCCATAGCCAAGCCCAGCTGCTGCCAAGGGGACAGGGGCTGCCCACAGCAGAGAAGGGCAGAAAAAACCCTGCCCAGACCCCCGTGCCCTCACTGCAACACGGGCAGGGTTTGGAGGAAAGAGGCTGCCTGTAGCTTCCAGCATCTGCTGGAAGCTGTGGTGGAGAGCAAGGGCTGCCTGGGGAGGGCTGGACTTGCCAGATGTGCTGCACAGCTGGAGGATGGTGTGCCCACACCTCTTAGCTCATATTTTAACCCCAAAGTTGGGCTGTTGGTCGTGTGTCCCCCCCCTCTGCCCCGAGCTTCTCCTGCACATCAGCAGCGTGGGGGTGGCTGCTCAGCACTTGGGCGCCTTCTGGGATGGATGTGACTGGTTTTTTATACCTCCGATTTCTGCATCTTTCTCCACCAAAAAAGAGGAGCAGGCTGGGCCCTGCTGAGGGCTGCTGATCTCCCCTGCCTGCTCCATCTCCAGACTCACCGCTTGTTGGAGCAGCAGGAGAACAATCAGCCTCGGCATCCCTCATCCGTCCCGGCAGGAGGGGATTGGACACAGGTAGGAGCCAAAAGGCACCTTTCCCGGCTGGGAAGCAGCACACAGGGAAGCCACGTGCTGAGTGACAGCCACTCTGGTGTCTGGTGGCAGCAGGGGATGGGGCTGCAGGGGGTGAACTTCTCAAGGGACCTGCAGTGGTGGGTACAAGGGCACCCCAAACTGCTGGGGAGCCAGGGCTGAGCAGCCCTTGGCCTGGGCTGGTAGCTGAGTTATGATGGTTTTTAACACTGGGATGTTGCTGTGAGCTCTCCCCCCAGCTCCTGAGCCCTGTTGTGCCCCCCTGGATGAATTTGGGAAGCCCATCAGCTCCAGCCCAGCCAGGACCTGGGGGCTGCAGCCCTGTGCCCACCCTGCTGGTGGCCGTGGTGGGTGGGAGCCCAAGGAAGATCCCAGCAGATCTGGTGTGGTGCTGCCTTGATGCCCCGTTGCCTGCAGAGCCTGCAGCAAACCCCACCGTGTCCCCCTGTCCCCAGGGGAGGTGACAGGGACCCCAGGGAGGAAGAAGGACCAGCCAGGCTTGCCGACCATGGAGAAGTGAAGAGGCTGCAGCTGCTGCCTCTGAAGGTATCAGCAGGGAGCACAAGGGAGAGAAAAGCTATTTCAGTTGCTGCACAATGTTGATATAAAAACAAACCAGGTAGAAGCTGCCCAGGAGTAAAGCAGGGCTGGGAATTATGGGATGTATCACTGCTGGGGGCGGTGGCTCAGGATGGAGGGTCCTCAGCTCATGCCAGGGCACAACAAGTCTCTCCTGAGGAAGCTTCTCCTGGGTTTTGCAC